CCCCCCCACCGGGTTTGCTCTCCTCTGCAGGTGGGCGGCAGGCGGTTCCCCGGCCTGGAGGAGGGCATCCAGGTGGTGGTGATCGACGGCAGCCACGGGCGCGTGCTGAGCCATGCCAGCTTCCGGAACGCTGTTCTGCAGGGCATCCCCTGGCAGCTCTTCAACCACGTGGCGGCCATCCCCGACAGGTGAGCAGGGCCCCTGTCCCCTAGGGCCCCTCTCAGTGCAGCCGGGGCGATTACTAATATCTTGTTTATTGAGAAAGTCATAGTGACTATGGTATTGGCTTGAAACCAGTTTCAGGGGGTTCGAATCCTTCCTTTCTTGGGGCATAAATATGTTATTTAGGATTTACATAAGTAGGTTCCTCAAAAGTATGATAAGGAGGGGGACATCCGTGAAGTCATTCAAGATTGGTTGATGGTAGTTCTACCACTGAAACTTCTCGTTTAGAGGCAAATGCTTCTCATACTATAAAAATTATTAGAATAACAGCGGTTAATGAGATGAATGAGCCTATAGAAGATACAGTGTTTCAAGTGGTATAGGCGTCCGGATAATCTGAGTAGCGTCGTGGTATACCTGATAGTCCTAAGAAATGTTGTGGGAAAAAAGTTATATTAACACCTACAAATATAATTAGAAAATGAATTTTTGCTCAAGTTTGACTTATTGTATAACCTGAAAATAGGGGGAATCAATGAATAAAGCCGCCTATGATAGCAAATACTGCCCCTATAGATAAAACATAGTGAAAATGGGCTACTACATAGTAGGTATCGTGAAGAACAATATCTAGAGAAGAGTTGGCGAGGACAATTCCTGTTAGACCTCCAACGGTAAATAAAAAGATAAAGCCTAGGGCCCATAGTATAGCAGGAGATCATTTAATATTACCTCCATGGAGAGTAGCTAGTCAACTAAAGACTTTAACTCCAGTGGGGATAGCAATAATTATAGTAGCTGATGTGAAGTAGGCTCGAGTGTCTACATCTATACCTACTGTAAACATATGATGGGCTCATACAATGAAACCTAAAAAGCCAATAGATATTATAGCTCACACTATTCCTATATAACCGAAAGGTTCTTTTTTTCCTGAATAATATGTGACAATATGAGAGATAATTCCAAACCCAGGAAGAATTAAAATGTATACTTCGGGGTGTCCGAAGAACCAAAATAGGTGCTGATACAGAATTGGATCCCCCCCTCCAGCAGGATCAAAAAAGGTAGTGTTCAAGTTTCGATCTGTTAGTAGTATTGTAATTCCAGCAGCTAAGACTGGAAGAGAAAGGAGAAGTAATACAGCTGTAATCAGGACAGATCAGACAAACAGTGGTGTCTGATATTGAGAAAGAGCAGGTGGTTTTATATTAATAATGGTAGTAATAAAGTTAATTGCTCCTAAGATTGAAGACACACCTGCTAGATGTAGAGAAAAAATAGCAAGATCAACAGAAGCTCCTGCATGGGCAAGATTTCCTGCTAAGGGTGGATAGACGGTTCAACCGGTACCAGCTCCTGCCTCAACTATAGATGAAGCTAGTAGTAATAAAAAAGAGGGAGGGAGAAGTCAGAAGCTTATATTATTCATTCGGGGGAAAGCTATGTCGGGAGCCCCAATTATCAAAGGTACTAGTCAATTTCCGAAGCCTCCGATTATAATAGGCATAACTATAAAGAAAATTATTACAAAAGCATGGGCAGTAACAATTACATTATAGATTTGATCGTCTCCCAAT